GGCTCCAGCAGCATGAAAAGGAGCTAAGTCTGCAGAGCTGCATTGCTGAGAGACAGGGACTCAGACCTTAGAAAGACAATTGGCAGAGAGGGCTCTGTGTGAGGTCCCTTCCCCTGTGCTCCTGGAGAAAAAGAGCAAATTGTTCCCCTCTCTCTTCCTTTGACCTGTGTTGGATTCAGACATGCCTCTTCAGCATGTGCCTGGTGTTGGTTATCAAGTAAATATCAGAACTGTTAGAAAAGTTGGGTGTCACCCCCACACTCTGCAAGTTGCCGGGGGGTCCTGGCACTCACCCAGGGTCTGCGTTCCTTGGGAGAACGGAGACACGGCAGAGACTGTTGTAACTCTAAGAAATACGCTTTATTCCTAATAATAATAATAATAATTTATTATTTATACCCCACCCATCTGGCTGGGTTTCCCCAGCCACTCTGGGCGGCTTTCAACAGAACACTAAAATACAATAACCTATTAAACATTAAAAGCTTCCCTAAACAGGGCTGCCTTCAGATGTCTTCTAAAAGGCAGGGTGGGTGCCACTACCTAGAAGGCCCTCTATTAGCCCTTTCCATCTGCCTGGAGGGAGTCCGCCTCTGACAGCCTGGTCCTGTCCAGAGGGGCTTCTCCCGCACAGCAGGGCAGCCCTGGAGTCCCAGGCATCTCTCCCAGGTTTTCCCATGGACCACCAACCCCTTTGGGCATGTTCCTGTCTCTATCCCAGGTGAGGCCCTGGCTTGGAAAGAAATCTGAGCCTGCACTTTCCCCCTGACTTCCAATCCAGTGGCGTAGCGTGGGGGGTGCAGGGCGGGCCGGCCGCACCGGGCGCAACATCTGGGGTTAGGGCAAATCCACAGGTTAGGGGGCGCAAATCCACGGGTTAGGGGGCGCAAATTACTTGCCTTGCTGACAACCCACGCTACGCCACTGTTCCAATCTGCCCTTTAATACTCCAAATCTACCATTTATTAATCTCTGGGGTTTTGGGCTGTCCCTTGCAAATGCATAACAGTTTTTGCCTGCATATTTTTTACTGCTGCTGTTGCGCTGAATCTATTATTATTATTATTATTATTATTAGTAGTAGTAGTAGTAGTAGTAGTAGTAGTTTATGTATATGCCACTCATCTCCTCTGGGCCTCGGAGCTCCTCCTACCTTCACCGTTCCTTCTCATTATAGCTGATGGGCACACTTGTCTTGGCAAGTCCTTCACCATCATCTGACAGACATCCCTCTTGCTGGCCACTATAAGGCTTGCTTGCAAAGCAGCACTTTGTGACATCAGCTGGCAACCCAGGCTGCTGGGTTGTCAGGCAGTTGAATTAAGAATAATGAAATGAGGGGGGGGGAGTCAAAGTGTGCTGGGATGAGGCCACTGTGGGTCAGGCCAGAGGGTGCTGTTGGGGTGTGTGGTTGTGCCTCCCTTTGTTCTGCATCTTGCTCCCTTGCCTTTGCCACTTCCTTTGTATCTGGGATTGGACCTCCTTACTGACAAAGCAGTAGAGGACGCTCACCCACAGGCCCCGCAAGGAGTTGAGCAACAGCTCAAAGAAGAAGTTGAGGTAGCCCATTGCATGTTCATCGGGAACCAGCAAAAGCACCACCTCATGAACCCCCGACAGCGGGATAAGGGTCACAGTTGACTTGGCCAGCCTGAATCTGTAATCTGTAATGCATCTGTTGCGCCTGGAGTTTGGAGAGCACGATCTCAAGGATGTGCATGAAGATCACAAACTTGAATAATGCCAGCAGTTCTGCATGTACTTGCCAGTGCTGAGAGTTCATTGTTGTCGAAATCCACCAAAGTGAAATTCCAAGACTATGAAGAGTTCTTCAAAGAGGGAAGGACAAAATAAGAGACTGGGGTTTGATGCAAATGCAGCATGTAGCATTTTGGGGTGTTTTTTGGAGCACCACCACCTGGCAGTCACATTAGGATTTTGAAACAGCCCGCCTTGCTGTTACATTTCTTAAATAAAAAATTTAAAAGACAAATTTCTAGTCCCAATGAGAAAATATGGTATATTTAGAGCTGCAGCTGATTGTGGGTCAAGGCAAAGTGAGCCGTGTTTCCTGCACTGCAAGATTGCAGAGTCCCCTCCCCACAAGAGACAGTCTCTGCCTCTCTCTGTGCCATCTCTGGGATGCATGGAATCAGATTGTGGGCCTTGGGTTGCTCATCCCAGCTGTCAACTGCCTGGCCATGGTTGTCCGAAGGGTGGCAGGTAGCAGTTGCTCCCAGCCTGGCCTAGATAGACCAAGGATGGACCCACCCAGGGGCCTTTTTAGGCCATAGCTCAGCGCCTGTGGAAGGCCACAGGGTCAGTCCTCAGCATCTCCAGGTGAGGCTTGGGAAACTCTGATCCGAACCCTTGGTGAGCTGCTGCTGCCAGCCAGGCCAGAGGAAGACAGTCTGGAGCTCCCGGTACCCGGGATCTGGCTCCTGAGGCAGCTGTCTATGCAGCCCAGTGGGTGAGGTCTTTTGCCAGGCAAAGGGCCAGGCGCTTTCCTGCATATTCACCTCTGGCGACTGAACACTCCATGGCCGAGCTTCAATCTGTCTCTCTGTGTGCCTGTTTTGGGTTAGCACAGCGGGAGTGCAAGTGCTTCTTGAATCCTTAGAATCAAAGAATTGTGGAGTTGGAAGGGACCTTGAGGATCATCTAGTCCAACCCCCTGCAATGCAGGAAGATGCAGCTGTGCTGGATGGGGATTGAACCTGCAAGCTGGGCCTTCTCATCCCCACACCTGAAGCCAAGCAGGGAGTTGAATCAAGGCCCTTCTGGGTGCCCAGAAGATGCTCTGCCACTGAGCCACAGCCCCTCCCAAACAGAAACACAGGAAGGGGATTTAGACCCTGGATTGCGCCATCTACCTCAAAGTAGAAGACAGCCTCCAGATTAGAATTGGAGACCACCCTTTTCCCCCTAGATGTTGCCCCAATTGGTTCTATTATATTATATTGTATTGTATTGTATTGTATTGTATTGTATTGTATTGTATTGTATTGTATTATTATATTATATTATATTATATTATATTATATTATATTATATTATATTATTACAATTGTTATGTACAGAAGTTCTCACCCTGGGCCAGCAGGGGGATACTGTAGATAGTTTTCACTCAGGTCCATGTCAGTTATTTTAGGCGGGAAACCCTGGGTTGTTGTTGCTACAATGTGGACAGCCGGCTGCCTATAAAAGCAGGTCGGCTGAGCTGTTTGCTGTTCAGTTTTCTGTTCCAGCTTACAAAATAAAGAGCTGCTTTGGAGAAATTGCTGTGTCGTCTGCCATGTCTACCCACTATTTTACAACAATACACATTGAATTCCCTAAAACGATGCTCATCTTAAGTCTGCGTTATACCTCCTGCAGTCCTGCATCAATTCTGAGCTTTTCCATCATGCCCACTTTCCCTCCCCACTGCACCCCAGCCTGTTACTCTGCTTCCCCTCCAGTTCACTCAGAGAAACATTCCTGGGTATTCCCAAGTCTTATTCACCACGCTGTGACATTGTAGGTGGTGCTGATAAAGATTTTCCCGAATGGCAGCTTTATTTCTTTCCCACAAATGGACCAGGACTCCTGCCCACCCATTCCTGCATCCACACAGCTGCAAGGCGTCCAGGAATCAGCATCCCAGAAGCTGACCGCTTCTTCTTGCACTGCTTCCCAATCAGCACCCCTCTCTTTGCACACGAGGTGTCCACTGCAGCCCTTCCCTGGGCACGCAGCAGCAAGGCATCTTAGCTGTGTTGCCAGGGGGTGAGATTCCATTCCCGGCCAGAAGGGTAAAAGCAGGCAGAAGTTGGGCAAAAAAATAAATAAATATTAATCTTTTCAAGATGCTTGAATGGAGTTGAGGAGAATTCTGGCTGAAGAAAAGCACTGCTTCTCCCTGCAATCATCCTGATAGAACAAGCACTTCAACTTCCTGTACCCGGTTCCTAGGAAATGGGTGTGAGGAAGCTGCAGGTTCCTCATCCCTGTTCTAAAAAGCAGGTGTCTTCCCCCCAAAGATCCTGGGAACTGTAGTTTGTTAGGGGCTCTGGGAACAGTTCCCATTAGCAGAGATCCGTGGAGTCCTAGGAACTCAGTCATGAGGAGGAACCAGGAAGGGAGGAGGAGCTCAGATGCCCCGTTCTTGAGTTGGGGAGGGACCCCGTGCCTTGGAAATGGAAAACCGTTGGGTGTTGAGGGTCCCAGGATTGTGCCTTGCCTTCAAGGGGGACGCCTGGGAGATGGAGTTTGGTCCTACTCAAGCGCAGGAAGGGATTCCCCTCAGATCAGATTGGCTCAGGCATATCTGAGAGGAGCCAGCAGATGTAGCAACAGCTAGACTGGGGACTGGGAGCAGCTGGCAGGTCCTAAACAGAACACCGGTCCTAAAGGATCTGCGGTGGCTCCCAGTACATTTGTGAGCACCATTCACAGTGTGCATCCTGTATGCCTGAAGAAGGGTTGCCACCTGGTTCTTTAAAAACAGAGTTTTAAAATTCCATCCTTGACAGGAAACTTAAATGGATAGGAATCTGGCTGCAAAACCTTCTTTTGAGCACGTCCAGCCATGAAGCTAGCTGCCTTCCTTCCCTTTGCCCCACTTAAGAAAGAATCAGGCATCAACATGGGAACTTTAAAAATAAGCTTTATTTACTTTATAATCATGCATTGGTTCACATCAATAGTGGCATTAAAAACTGTGCAGGCAAAATAGTGTTATACAGTTGCCGGAGACCCCCCCCCAAACCCCAGAAATACACAAAAGGTAGAATTCTGATAAATTGGGATTTCAATGAAAGTACAGGCTGCACAACTGTGCCAGACAAGGAATTCCTGGGCTGACTTTTGCAAACCAGGCTGGCCCGTCTAGCAAAGAGCAAATATGTTAACACACCTGAGATTGCTGGGCACATGACCCAAGGCGAAGTGGGGATGAGCCCCAAAGGTATGGTGGGTACACAGCCTTTGGTTTCAAGGGAAAGATCTCTAGCAGGCTTTAGCTCACACAGGGCAGGAGCGTAGTGAGATTTATTTTGTATTATTTCTTTGCACCATCACTGCGCGTGACCCTTTGAAAAGAGGTTCCTTAAACTCTTAATTTGAGGCAAGGAGGCAACAGCGAAAGGCTGAGGGTCCAGGGTGGTCCCTGAGTCCAGCTGAAAGACAGAAGCCAGGATCTCTCAGTTCAAACTTCTGGGTTCCCTGGCATTTCCCATATGTATTCTCTGGGACAACACTGCGCCTCTACCACCACTGGCTATTCCTGGTCTCAGCTCGCGTGTGACGCTACAGTTCCCAGATGGACACAGAGTACAACTGCGAGCATTAAAACCTCAGGAGCCACCAGCAATGTCATGCTCTGCGAGTTTGCCCAGCAGCATGGTGTGACAACATGATAACTGGGGACTCAGCGGAAAGTGAGAGCCCATTCACATGAGAGCCCATACTGTAATGGTGTGGCAATGCAATAATTGGGGAATCTGCAGACAGTGAGAGCCCATTCACGTGGGAGCCCATACTGTATCCTGCTTCCGCCACAGGGCCAGGCCTCCAGGGATGAGGCTCCAGCTCCAGCTTCCAGGATGAAGAGCAAGATAACATCCCGGCGGTTCCCAGCTGGCAAGCCTCGCACCTCTTCCCCACTGCCCCTTCTCTGTACTGGCATGGCTCCTTCACGGCCCTGTTGGCCGCAGAAGCAGCAGCCAAAGTTTCCTCCCATTAAAACAGCCTCTCAAGTTATTTCAGAGAGGGAGGGGACTTTGGTTTCTGCTTCTGTGCTAGGCCGATCGGGACGGATCCCAGACGCCCGTACGGAGGAGTACAGGTTGGGGCAGCTAATAAGATCAGGTAGGAGGAAATGCCCCTTCCCAGGTCCCCCCCTCCTGCCCCAGACTGGGGCTAATGTGGCTGGGAGCCAGGCGCTTGCTGATGTCTCCGTTTTCTTTGCAGGGAGGGAGCCTTTCCCCAACATATACTTTGTTCTGGTCAAATCCCTGGAGAGATGTGACGACCCTCAGGTCCTGGGGCAGAGGGAACAAAGGGGTCCTTCCATAGTTTTTCACCCATCAGAGGCCCATTCTCATATGATGTCCTGCTTCCTCCACAGGGCCACACCTCCAAGGATGAGGCTCCAGCGCCTGCTCCCGGGACGAAGAACGACAGACCATCACGGTGGTTCCCAGCCCCTGACCCTTGCCTGCCTCCCCCTCCGTCTGTTCTCCGTGTGGGCATGGCTCCTTCCCGGCCCTACTTGGCGCAGAAAGAGGAGCCAAGGTTTCCCCCCATCAAGAACACCTCCAGAGTTATTCCGGAGCCGGGGGAGACTTGGGTTGCTGCCTCTGTGCCAAGCCGGCCGGGACGGAGCCCAGACACCCGTACGGAGGAGTTCAGGTTGGGGCAGCTAATAAGATCAGGTAGGAGGAAATGCCCCCTTCCCAGGTCCCCCCCTCCTGCCCCAGACTGGGGCTAGAGTGGCTGGGAGCCAGGTGCCTGCTGATGTCTCCCTTTGTTTTGCAGCGAGGAGAAGGTTCAGCCTGGGAGCTGCTGCATCCTGGGAGGGACTGGAGCCCAGACAAAGGCCTCTCACCCCAGAGGTACTGGGACAGAGGGAAGGACAAAGACCCCCATTGGGAGGCAAAGTGTGGAAAGGCTCAGAGTTCAGGTAGGGGGAAATGCCAATTGAGTGCTGGAGTGGGGGGGGGGAGCAGGCCTGTCTCTCCCCAGCCCCTCACCCCCCTCCTTCCAAGCCAGGGGTCTGGCCATTATGTGCCCAGGCAGGAGCAGCGTTCGTTGCCAGCCAGTGGTGACATCGGCATGGGCAGCCTGGCAGGGGGGCTTGTTCTGTCCCCCTCCCTCCCTGGGTCAGCTGGCCGGAAACCCTCGGCAGCACTCAGGCTGTCCCTACAGAAGTTGGGGGGCTGCTCCCCCCTGGGGTCCTATGTCTCCACCGCAGGAGGGCACTGGCTTGCCTGCCCATGGGCTGCTGCTGAGATGCTCTGTTCTACGCAGGAGAAGGAGGGACGTGGCTGGGGGGAGGCAGCAGACTGAGGAAGGGAGGGAGCTGGGAAGGCAGACAGGAGGGGGAGTGAGAGAAAATATTGAGTGGGCTGTGGCCCAGAAGAACATTATTGGGGACGGCCCATGGGACCCCTGTCCTCTAGAGTGGATGCCTATGCCGGATATCTTAAAGAATACAATGTCCTTCTTCCTTCCCACATCTCAGCCATCTTTGACGCAGAAGCACCAGCCAAAGTTTCCTCCCATTAAAACAGCATCTCAACTGATTTCAGAGAGCGAGGAGACTTTGGCTGCGGCGTCTGTGCCAGGCTGGCTGGGACAGAGCCCAGACGCCCGTACGGAGGAGGACAGGTTGGGGCAGCTGATAAGATCAGGTAAGTGGAAATGCCCCCTTCCTAGGCCCCCCCCCCTCCTGCCCCAGGCTGGGGCTAGCGTGGCTGGGAGCCAGGCACCTGCTGATGTCTCCGTTTCCCTTGCAGTGAAGGAAAAGTTCAGTCGGGGAACTGCCGCATTCCGGGAGGGACTGGAGCCCAGACGAAGGCCTCTTGTCTCAGAGGTAAGGGGACAGGGGGAAGGAGGGGGGCCTTAGGAAACACAGCACCACACCTCCAGGGATGAGGCTCCAGTTTCCAAGATGAAGGGCAAAAGAACATCCCGGCGGTTCCCAGCTGACATCCCTCGTACCGCTTCCCCACTGCCCCTTCTCTGTATGGGCATGGCTCCTTCCCGGCTCTGTTTGGTGCAGAAGCAGCAGCCATAGTTTCCCCTAATTAAGACAGCATCTCGAGTTATTTCAGAGAGGGAGGGGACTTTGGCTGCTGCTTCTGAGCTAGGCCGGTCGGGATAGAGCCGAGACGCCCGTATGGAGGTCAAATGGGGAGAGCTCATAAGATCAGGTAGGAGGAAATGCCCCTTCCCAGGTCCCCCCCCCCTGCCCCAGACTGGTGCTAGCATGACTGGGAGCTAGGCACCTGCTGGTGTCTCAGTTTTCTTTGCAGGAATCATAGAATCATAGAGTTGGAATAGACCACAAGGGCCATCGAGTCCAACCCCCTGCCAAGCAGGAAACACCATCAGAGCACTCCTGACATATGGTTGTCAAGCCTCTGCTTAAAGACCTCCAAAGTAGGAGACTCCACCACACTCCTTAGCAGCAAATTCCACTCTCAAACAGCTCTTACTGTCAGGAAGTTCTTCCTAATGTTTAGGTGGAATCTTCTTTCTTGTAGTTTGGATCCATTGCTCCGTGTCCGCTTCTCTGGAGCAGCAGAAAACAACCTTTCTCCCTCCTCTATATGACATCCTTTTATATATTTGAACATGGCTATCATATCACCCCTTAACCTCCTCTTCTCCAGGCTAAACATGCCCAGCTCCCTTAGCCGTTCCTCATAAGGCATCATTTCCAGGCCTTTGACCATTTTGGTTGCCCTCCTCTGGACACGTTCCAGTTTGTCAGTGTCCTTCTTGAACTGTGGTGCCCAGAACTGGACACAGTACTCCAGGTGAGGTCTGACCAGAGCAGAATACAGTGGCACTATTACTTCCCTTGATCTAGATGCTATACTCCTATTGATGCAGCCCAGAATTGCATTGGCTTTTTTAGCTGCCGCGCCACACTGTTGGCTCATATCAAGTTTGTGGTCAACCAAGACTCCTAGATCCTTTTCACATGTACTGCTCTCAAGCCAGGTGTCCCCCATCTTGTATTTGTGCCTCTCATTTTTTTTGCCCAAGTGCAATACTTTACATTTCTCCCTGTTAAAGTTCATCTTGTTTGTTTTGGCCCATTTCTCTAATCTGTCAAGGTCGTTTTGAAGTGTGATCCTGTCCTCTGGGGTGTTAGCCACCCCTCCCAGTTTGGTGGCATTTGCAGGGAGGGAGCCTTTTCCCAACATTTACCTTGTCCTGGCCAAATCCCTGAAGAGACGTGACGACTCTCAGGTACTGGGAGGGAGGGAAGGAAGGAAGGGGTCCTTTTGAAACATGTTTGAGGAGTCGTAAGAACACTGTCCCCTTTGGCTGTTGCCGAAGCCACCCTTATAAAAAGAACTGTTAAGAGGAAGGAAAGATTTGCAAAGAACACCCTACAAGTTGAGCGTACCTGTTCATGCTGTGGATGCGTTTCTGAAAAAGGCTTACGCTAATAAGACGAGTTTGGGTACTGGAGGCCCTCTTACAGGTATTTCTCGACTACAGCTCCCTTTGTCCTTAACCACTGTCCTTTTTCTCCTGCTTTTCCGACAAACGCCCAGGTGGCTACGCTGCATGTTCTGCACCTTCCAAACCAAGGCTTAGTCCCAGAACCATTTTCATTTGTTGGTTTGAAATATTTTTCATTAAAGATTTTCTTGGTTTACAAAAGTACGTGAATTATCTCTTTTTTCAAGTTGAGTTTGGTCTGTGATAGCCCATTCACAAGTTCAGGGATTCTTCCCTCAAAGCAGCCCTTAGCCTAGAGTTCTGCCACGCTTCAAGGATACCTCTTTTCTTCCAGGGTCTCCTTTCTCCATCACTGTGGCTCCTGCAGAAGCACCCTGTGTAAAAAGAACAGATAAGAGGAAGGAAAAAATTGCATGGAGCTGGGAGAACACCCTACAAGTTGAGTGTCAACAGAGAATGGAAGAACAACCTTCTTGCATGAGAGCAGAAAGGAGATGCTCTCGTCCGGAAGTAGGTGGGCCAAGTTTTCTTGGGGAGCAATGTCAGGGCAGGGGCACTGGGCATCTATTCCCCACGTCTGCCAGGAGGATACCAAGTCCTTCTTCCTCCACAGGGCCATGCTTCAAGAGAATGGTTTCCGTTGCCAGCACCCAAGCTGATGGACACAGAGCGAAACTCCGTCTTCCGTGGCATTCCAGTTTTGACTTTCTGGATTGTATTGTCCTTCCAAGTTGCTGGAGGAATCCATGCTACTCAGCGCCTTACATGTCTTCTGGGATGCCACGCATGCTGTCTGAATGTGCCAGTCCCTGACGAGAGGAGAAGGGCATCACTGGCATAGGTTAAAGCTCAAAAAAGAAATTGGAGGAACTGGTCGCCTTTGATATGCCAATGATTAAATAATATAATGTGATAAAGATTGTTAAAGAGTAAAACTAACAAGCAGTTTTCTTTCCTTCTCTGCCTTCTCTGACTGCTACTGGGAGCTCTACTTAAGAAGGCTGGAGCCAGCTGGTTCTCATCAGCGCTTTCTCCTTGGAGTCTTTGAAGCTGCAGGTGATGTCACTCCCCCTTCTTCCCCTTCAGGCTGCTGTTGAGTAGGTGAAGCAGATTCCTGCCCCATGACAATATCCCCCTTCCCCAAGGTGAGCCTCCACCTGCTGGGTGGGTGCTGGCTTTGGGGGAGCACAATAGTGGAAGTGATGGACCAACCAGACGTTGGGGGAGCATGAACATGCAAAGCATCTTCCCCTGAGGATTTTCCACTGTCCATGTCAATGAAAATGGCCGTAGCCCCCCAATTTCTCTCATCTTCTTTGGCGATCACACGTAGCCAAGTAAGATTGTCTTCCATGAACACGGTCTTAAGAATGAGTCCATTAGTGACTGTGGAGGCCAATTCTGGATCCACACTTCCTTCCACAGTGGGGACATAGGTTTCCGGGTGGGAGTTGATCACGGTGAGGGTTTGCCAAGCGTGCCTTCCTCCTAGTTTGTTTCTCCCTTTTGTCCTGAGTTCGAGTGTCTTCAAAGTCCATGACACCGTTGGTAAAGGCTGTTCTCCAATTGGAGCATTCTAAGGCCAGCGTTTCCCAATTGTTTACACAACATTTCTTTTAGATCTGCCTTGAGAGAGTCTTTAAACTTCTTTCGTTGAGCACCAGCATTGCATTTCTAAGTTGGGAAGACGATAATTAGGCATAGCCCAGGTCTGTTAAGCTGCTTTCCAGGTGTTTTCAGAGGGTGGTGTGAGGTATCTGGGCATTAGGAAAACAAGCCAAGCCTGGCTCTGTGGCCATCCAAAATTGAGGTTATTCTGTTCCTGGGCAGCTGGCAGAGCCCCTCTTTGTTGGGCATGGGACTGTCACATTCCTCGGGCTCCACAGGAGACTCACAGTCCCTCTCTGCGTCTCTGTTCCTTTTTGGCCACCGTCAAACGACTCTCATACTGGTCCTAAGCTGAAGAGCTGCCCACCCCAGCTGACCTCCTCCCTCCAGAACCCACCGCTCTCAACCGACTCCCAACTGCCTCCCCACCAACATTCAAACTCCCTTTCAAAGCCTCCTCCAATCGTCACTCTCCCCCAGAATTCCTCTCTCTCTCTCTCTCTCTCTCTCTCTCTCTCTCTTCCCCCCTCCCTCCCTGCTTGACATTCCCTGGGAATCCGAATAGAATGACCTTAGTTACAATAATACGCACAATATTGTTATAGATTGATGGGGGAATCCCACTAAACCCTAGAGATTAATAAATGGTACGAATTGGGGATTATTTGGGATGTGAAGGTAGAAATACAAGCTGCAGAGGAATTCCTGGGCTAGCCTTTGCAAAAGGACCTCACCAAACTAGGACCATTAAAAATCAGTTGCCCAGAGGTGTGGACAAAGACAGTGGATTTGGAAGGGGGCCAGTATACAGTGGTACCTCAGGTTAAGAACTTAAATCATTCTGGAGGTCTGTTCTTAACCTGAAACTGTTCTTAACCTGAGGTACCACTTTAGCTAATGGGGCCTCCCGCTGCTGCTGCTGCGCCGCTGCCACACGATTTCATCCTCAAGCAAAGTTCTTAACCAGAGGTACTATTTATGGGTTAGCAGAGTCTGTAACCTGAAGCGTCTGTAACCCAAGGTACCACTGTACCTGGGTGTGAGGTTACAGGAAAACTGTGGGGAACAAGTCCCTCTTGGAAGGACTCTCTTGGAAGGACTCTGCTGTAAGATCTGGACTCCCTCCATGCAAACTGAAGGTGTAAATAGGTGAATAAACTGTATTTCTTAAAGGTAAAACAGTCTCCGCCATGTCTCAATTCTCCAAAGGTGAGAGCCTGGAACCCCATGGACTCCTGCCATCGCTCAGTAGAGAGGGGGCAGGCACCTTTTGGAACAAAATTTTATAAGCCTGCTCTGTCAAGTCATCCTGTTAGAAGCACTTGAGCTTCACATTCCTGGTTCCTAGGAAATTGGGGGAAGTGTGCTGCAGGTTCTCCTCCCTGTTGTAAAAAGCAGGTAAAAAAAAGGTAAAGGTAAAGGTACCCCTGCCCGTACGGGCCAGTCTTGACAGACTCTAGGGTTGTGCGCTCATCTCACTCTATAGGCCGGGAGCCAGCGCTGTCCGCAGACACTTCCGGGTCATGTGGCCAGTGTGAAAAAGCTACTCTGGTGAGCCAGAGCCGCACACGGAAACGCCGTTTACCTTCCCGCTAGTAAGCGGTCCCTATTTATCTACTTGCACCCGGGGGTGCTTTCGAACTGCTAGGTTGGCAGGCGCTGGGACCGAGCAACGGGAGCGCACCCCGCCGCGGGGATTCGAACCGCCGACCATGTGATCGGCAAGTCTAGGCGCTGAGGTTTTACCCACAGTGCCACCCGCGTCCCGTAAAAAGCAGGTGTCTTCCCCTAAATGATCCTGGGAATTGTAGCTTGTCAGGGATTCTGGGAATTGTAGTTCTGTGAGAGGAAAGCTGCAATGCCCAGGATCATTGGGGGGACGTCATGTGCTTTAAATGCTCATTAGATGCACTTAACATCATAGGATCATAGAATTGTAGAGTTGGAAGGGACCCCGAGGGTCATCTAGTCCAACCCCCTGCAATGCAGGAATCTCAGCTAAAGCATCCATGGCCGATGGCAGGTGGCCATACCACCTCTGCTCAAAAACCTCCAAGGAAAGGGAGTCTACCGCCTTCTGAGGGTTTCCTTCCCACTGTCAAAGAGCTCTTCCTGTCAGAAAATTCCTCCTGAAGTTGAGTCGGAATCTCCTTTCTTGTAACTTGAATCCACGGCTTCAGGTCCTGAGGGCCTCTGGAGCAGGAGTATACAAGCTTCCTCCCTCCTCTCTGTGACGGCCCCTGAGATATTGACAGGGCTGCATGGTGTGGCTCTCAAATCCATGTCGAGAGAGAGAGAGAGTGCAAAACGTTTCTCTCTCCCCTTTCTCCAGCCCAGGCAGAAATGCAAGGGGTCTGTGCAACTGGTTGGTAAGAAGATGGTCAGAGTTTGGAGCCCAGCCAGGGCTGGCAGTGGGCAGGATCCTGGCATTGTCTGGGGTTGGACTAGATGACCCTTGGGATCCCTCCCAACTCTTTGTTGTTGTTTAGTCGTTTAGTCATGTCTGACTCTTCGTGACCTCATGGACCAGAACACGCCAAGCACTCCTGTCTTCCACTGCTTCCTTGTCTGGGGTTGGACTAGATGACCCTTGGGATCCCTCCCAACTCTGCTATGCTATGATTCCATCAAGCAGCTAAAGGAACGGGCAGGGGAGCAAGATGTAGAACAAGGGGAGGCACAACCACACACCCCAACAGCACCCTCTGGCCTGACCCACAGTGGCCTCATCCCAGCACACTTTGAACCCCATTTTATTTTTATTAATTCAGCTGCCTGGCAACCCAGCAGCCTGGCCCCTCTTTGCCAGATGATGTCACAAAGTGCTGCTTTGCAAGCAAGCCTTATAGTGGCCTGCAAGAGGGATGCCTGTCAGATGATGGGGAGAGACTTACAGAGACAAGTGATAATGAGAAGGAACTCTGAAAGTAGGAGGAGCTCCGCGGCCCAGAGGAGATGAGTGGCATATAAATATTATTGTTGCTGTTATTGTTATTAGTGTCACCTGTCACTGGTGCATGGCGACTTGGCTCCCTGGCTTGACTTGTCCACAGCTGTTGAAAGCTTCGCAGGACTTCTTCAGCTGTGGTCTGTTCTCCCAAGGAACGCGGACTCTGGGTGAGTGCCTGAACACCCCTGGGATCTCGCAGAGTACGGGGGTGGCACCCGACTTTTGTAACAATTCTGATATTTACTTGATAACCAACACCAGGCACATGCTGAAGAGGCATGTCTGAATCCAACACAGGTCAAAGGAAGAGAGAGGGGAACAATTTGCTCTTTTTTCTCCAGGAGCACAGGGGAAGGGACCTCACACAGAGCCCTCTCTGCCAATTGTCTTTCTAAGGTCTGAGTCCCTGCCTCTCAGCAATGCAGCTCTGCAGACTTAGCTCCTTTTCATGCTGCTGGAGCCCCAAATGGATGGTTTGTGCACAGCCTTTGGTTTTAAGGGAAAGGCGTCTAGCGGGATTCAGCCTGCACGGGGCAGGAGCCTAGTGAGATTTATTTTGTATTATTTCTCTGCACCATCACTGTGTGTGACCCTTGAGAAAGAGGTTCCTGCCCCAAGGGGCTTACAATTTTTAATTTGACATAGGGAGGGAACAGGGAAGGGTTGAGGTCCAGGGTGGATCCTGAGTCCTCCTGTGAGACCTAAGCCAGGGTCTGTAACCTCTGGATTCCATCTGTACCCTCTTCCTCCTTTTTTGCAATATGGTAATTGAGGTGATGCTACTAGAATTCCGAAGGGAATGTCAAGCAGGGAGGGAGGGGGGAAGAGAGAGAGTGGAATTCTGGTGGAGATGGAGGGTTGGAGGAGGATTTGAAAGGGAGTTTGAATGTTGGAGGGGAGGCAGTTGAGAGTCGGTTGAGAGCAGTAGGTTCTGGAGGGGGGCACTTGGTGGGGTACCTGAAGCTGGGCTGGCTTAGGGTCAGTAGGACAGTCGACATCGCCAGGGGCATGTGGTGAAGAGGGGTTCTGCCAGCTTCCGGGGAAGAGAATTCCCTAAATTTAGGTGAGCCATGGAGCCAGGCCTTGGCTTGTACTGCGAATGTCGAGATTCCTCGCACCACCCCCTGGAAATACCTGCAAACAGCTTGACAGACCCAGGCTATGCCTGATGATCATCTTCCAAAGCAACTACCATATTTTTCGCTCTATAAGACACACCTGACCACAAGACGCACCTAGTTTTTGGAGGAGGAAAGCAAGGAAAAATATTCTGAATCTCAGAAGCCAGAACAGCAAGAGGAATCGCTATGAAGTGAAAGCAGCAATCCCTCTTGCTGTTCTGGCTTCTGGGATAGCTGCGCAGCCTGCATTCGCTCCATAAGACGCACACACATTTCCCTTTACTTTTTAGGAGGGAAAAAGTGAGTCTTATAGAGCAAAAAATATGGTACTCTGTTCCAAACTTATATACTTTATCATGCATTGGCAAAATACTGATATGGATTTGTAGGGGACACCTCTAAACCCTAGAAATAAATAAATGGGAGGACTGTGGTGATTTGGAAATTTAAGGAAAAGGCGTCTAGTGGGCTTCAGCTTGCATGGGGCAGGGGCCTAGAGAGATTTATTTTGTATTCTTTCTTTGCACTATCACTGTGTGTGACCCTTGATAAAGAGGTTCCTGCCCTGAGGGGCTTACAATCTTTAATCTGACACAGGGAGGGAACAGTTTAAGTTTGAGGTCCTGGGTGGATCCTAAGTCCTGCTGCGAAACATAAGCCAGGGTCTCTGAATTTATGTCCCCGACATTTCCCATCTGTAACCTCTTCCTCTGTTTTTATTTTCCTTTCTGTCTCCTAGGTCCTAAGAGGCTTCTGTGGCGCTGGGAACAGGTGGAGGAAGGGGAGGCGGCCAGTCGTGGTATGTTTATTCCATGGGGAATCCATTCTCCACATGTGCCAGGAGGTTGGGGTGCCAACCAGAGCAAACAGGGCTGGGTTGGTGGGGAGCAGTCCCGTCTCGCCCCAGCCCTTCACCCCCCTCCTTCCAAGCCAGGGGTCTGGTCATTATGTGCCCAGGCAGGAGCAGCGATCGTTGGCACCCAGTCGTGATGTGGGCATGGGCAGCATGGCAGGGGTGCTTGTTCTGCCTCCCTCCTTCCCTGGGTCACGCGGGCTGCTCTGTGCCACACAGGAGAAGGTGGGCTGTGGCTGGGGGGAGGCAGTAGACTGAGGAAGGGAGGGAACTGGGAAGGCAGACAGGAGGCGGAGTGAGGGGAAAATATTGAGGGCGATGTACCCCAGAAGAACATTATTGAGGAGGGACCACGGGACCCCTGTCCTCTAGAGTGGATGCCTATGCCAGGATAATACAATGTCCTCCTTCCTTCGCAGAGCCGTGGTTTGGGAAAATCTCCAGCAGCCCAGCAGCAGCCCAGCGGTGCTATGACAGAAAGCAAAATGTGCAGGTATGCTGTGACCTTCTGTGGCAGGGGAAGTGTTTCCCTGTCATCTTACCAACTGCAGGAGGAAGGCCTGATTTGGATATCTCTATAGTTTTATGGAGAGGGTTTCTCTGCGGTCCACCTGGGCAGGACAAAGGGCATGATTCTCTCCCATGCCACCACATCCCAAGGCTGGGCCAGGGCAGTTTTAGGATGGCAGGACCAGTGTGCTCACACTGGGCACTACACTGCTAAACAATGCAGAAGAACAAGAGGGAGGGGTGCCGAATTTTAGGGTCATTCAGGGCTCTGTTGACATTTGAGAGCCCAAAGTTCACCCTTGGTTGGGCACAGTTCCAGATTAATACCTATGGCAGTCAAAATGTCGCTGGGCTCCTCACAGATTATCTCCTGATACCTTTTTGATTTTACCAACCAACAATATTAATAAACCGATTGTATTACGGAAAACAAACAGTCTTTATTTTAATCCGTTGTTATGAGGCCCATAGGCCGGTTCCTGCTCTGCCCATTGGGCAATCTGGCTCTGGTTGGGAATGCTTCTGTGGAGATGAACCCCACCCCCCAGGGTCATTCTTTCCTTCAGACAAAAGCTGACATGGGGTGTGGAACTGGACCAGGGGAAGAAGTGGCTCTCCTTGCCTTCTTAGCCCATATTTTTCTCAAATTTCTGCATCCCATGAAAACGCCCTTCCTGAGATTCTAGCCAACATCAACCTGCTGGTCTCAGTTACCATAATGAACCTTAGAATAAAAGAGATACATAGAATTAGCTATACATTTATCTGGAACTCCTTGAACCAATCTGACTAACTGAGCTTGTTTCTTCCTTAGGAGAGAGGCAGACCAGAACAAGGGGGGAAAGACTCCAACTTCAGGTAAGTGGAAATGCCAATTGAGTGCCCTATATTACAGGAATGCTTCCTTCCCATGTCCCCCTCCCTCATGTGCCAGACAGGTGCTAGCATATATGGGAGCCAGGCGCCTGCTCATGTTTCTGTTTTCTTTGCAGGGAAGGAGCCCTTCCCCAATGGGTACTTCATTCTGGTGAAATCCCTGGACAGATGCTCAGGTGACGACGCTCAGGTACTGGGGCAGAGGGAAGGTAGGGGTCCTTCTGAAACATGTTTGGGGAGTTGTAGGAACACTCTCCCCATCTGTGGCTTCCAGCAAGTGCTTTTCAGAAGCATTGCTTCCCTCTAACCAGGTTGCATTGCCCTCTGCACCACAAAATTGTCTCACCCTCTTTGAAAGCCACATCATCCAAGATGCTCTTGTGGGGCATCTGACTCTCCTGGGCTTCCTTGTTCCTGCAAGATCAGCAGTGTGTTCTTGTTCACTCATCTAAAGAATGGAAAAGGGGGCAGAAAGCAGGTGGGTGTCTGGGAAAAGGGACTTTGGCATTGCCACCCAGCCCTGAACCCCATGTGTTTTGACCCTGTGAGATTCTGGTTTGAGGTGTGATCCCCAGAACATAACCCCCATGTCAGTGGCAGGCTTCCTCTTGAGAGCATCCACCACACCGGACATCCAAAGGCCTCTTCTACCACGTTCACGGTCTTGGCTTCCACCAAGGAATCCTGGGACCTGTCCTTTGTCAAGGACCTACCATTCCTGGCAGCTCCCATTCCTAGCACCCTGAACACACTACAGGATTTCCAGGATTCTCCATGATAGTGAAAGTGGAGAGAGAAGCCTTTGAATATTTGGTGTGGCTAAGGCAGCTGAAAGAGCGTCTGAGTTGAAGTTCTGCCAGTAGTTTTTGGCCATTCACAGCCCATTCTCATATGATGTCCCTCTTCCTCCACAGGGCCAGGCCTCAAGGGATGAGGCTCCAGCGCCAGCTCCTGGGATGAAGAACCGGACAACATCCCAGCGGTTCCCGGCTGACGTCCCTCGCGGCGCGTCCCCACTGCCCCTTCTCTGTACTGGCATGGCTCCTTCCCAGCCCGATTTGGCGCAGAAGCAGCAGCCAAAGTTTCCTCCCATTAAAAGAGCATCTCAATTTATTTCAGAGAGGGAGAAGACTTTGGCTGCTACTTCTGTGCCAGGCCGGCCAGGCTGGAGCCCAGATGCCCGTAGGGAGGAGGACAGGTTGGGGCAGCTAATAAGATCAGGTAGGAGGAAATGCCCCCTTCCCAGGTCCCCCCCCCTGCTCCAGACTGGGCTAGCGTGGCTGGGAGCTGGGCACCTGCTGATGTCTCCGTTTTCTTTGCAGGGAGGGAGCCTTTCCCCAACAAATGCTTTGTTCTGGTCAAATCCCTGGAGAGACTTGACGACCCTCAGGTACTGGGGCAGAGGGAACAAAGGGGTCCTTCCATAGTTTTTGGCCCATCAGAGGCCCATTCTCACATGATGTCCTGCTTCCTCCACAGGGCCACACCTCCAGGGATGAGGCTCCAGCGCCTGCTTCCAGGATGAAGAATGAGAGACCATCATGGTGGTTCCCGGCCCCTGACCCTGGCCTGCCTCACCCTCCGTCCATTCTCTGTGTAGGCATGGCTCCTTCCCAGCCCTACTTGACACAGAAGGATGAGCCAAGGTTTCCACCCATCAAGAACACCTCAAGAGTTATTCTGGAGCGGGGGAGACTTTGGCTGCTCCTTCTGTGCCAGGCCGGCCAGGACAGAGCCCAAACGCCCATACGGAGGAGGACAGGTTGGAGCAGCTAATAAGATCAGGTAGGAGGAAATTCCCCTTCCCAGGTCCCCCCCCCCTGCCCCAGACGGGGCTAGCGTGACTGGGAGCCAGGCGTCTGCTGATGTCTCTGTTTCCTTTGCAGGGAGGGAAAGACTCAGCCTGGCAGCCACTGCATCCCGGGAGGGACTGGAGCCCAGACGAAGTCTTCTTGTCTCAGAGGTAATGGGACAGGGGGAAGGAGGCGGACCTTAGTAAACGCACAAGAAGGGCCTGCAGGATCAGGCCAAGGGCCCCTCTGGTCCAGCCTCCTCTTCTCCCAGGGGCCACCCAGATACCAGTGGGGAAGCCACAAGCAGGATTCGAGCCCAAGAGCCCTCTGCCCACCTGGGACTTCCTGCAACGGCTTTTCTGAAGCATGTTGTCTCCATCAGGACAAGTAGCCTTTGACTGCCCTCTCCTCCGTTAAGTCGTCTAACCCTAATTTAAAGCCCTGCCGTCAGAGATGCTCTTCTGCTGCATCTCCTGGTCACCTGACTGTTCCTGCCAAAAGGCTGCTCTTGTGAGCTCTGCAGTGGGATCTGCTTTAAGTCCCTGGGGAGGGTGTGACAGCTGAATGGGCGTCTGAGGGGTGTCCCTGGTGTTTGGCCTGTGATAACCCCTTCACATCTTTAGGGATTCTTCCCTCGAAGCAGCCCTTAGCATCGAGTTCTCTCCTGCTTCAAAGATTCCTTATTTCTTGCAGGAACCCCTGTCTTCACTGCTGTGGCTGCTGCCAGAGCCTCCCTTTTGAAATCAACAGGTAAGAGGAAAGAAAGATTTGCATGGGGTGGGGAGAACACACTACAAATTGAGCGTACGTGTTCAAGCTTCAATTAATCCAGAATGCGGCAGCCAGACTGGGGACTGGGAGCGGCTGCCAGGACCACATAACACTGGTCTTGAGAGATCTGCATTGGCTCCCAGTACATTTCCAAGCACAATTCAAAGTGTTGGTGCTGACCTTTAAAGCCCTAAACGGCCTCAGTCCAGTATACCTGAAGGAGCCTCTCCACCCCCATTGTTCAGCCCAGACGCTGAGGTCCAGCTCCGAGGGCCTTCTGGCGGTTCCCTCCCTGCGAGAAGTGAGGTTACAGGGAACCAGGCAGAGGGCCTTCTTGGTAGTGGCGCCCACCCTGTGGAACACCCTCCCTTCAGATGCGAAGGAAATAAGCAGCTATCCTTTCTTTAAAAGACATCTGAAGGCAGCCCTGTTTAGGGAAGTTTTTAATATTTAATGCTGTACTGTTTTTAACACTTGATTGGGAGCCGCCTAGAGTGGCTTGGGAAACTCAGCCAGATGGGCGGGGTATAAATATTTTATTATTATTATTTTTATTATTATTATTATTAGAGGCATTTCTTTTAAAAAGGCTTACACTAGTAAGATGGGTTTGGGAACTGGAGGCCTTCCTACAGGGGTTGCTTGACTACAACTCCCATTGTCCTTGACCAATGTCCTTTCCCCCCTGCTTTTCAGCCAAACACCCAGGTGGCCACGCTGCAGGCGGACGTTCTGCGCCTTCTGAGGTCCATCTTTCAGCCTGCAAGGGAGATGTGAAGGGCCTTGCCTGGATGAGGACATGGTGCAGCTCTTTCATCTTCATCAATTTGTTTGTTTTATCTAATTTTTATTAACTAAATTCTTGATTTCCAAAGTATGTGTATTTCTCTTTTTTCAAGTTGTGTTTTCTACAGTTCAATTGCATTTGTTGTGAAACATTCGTGTTGTGTATAGTATAAGACTGGGGAAGAAAAGGGGGGAGAGAGGAGATGAGGTGGGAAAACATATATTCTTTTACTTTGTGTCAGCATCAACTGGGTAGCTTCTCATTTTATTCATTTATTATATTTCCTTGGTAGTGCAGATAAAAATTTGAAATTATAATTTGGGAGGAAAAGCAACTAAGGATAAAGTAGTAGAATATGAATTTGCTGAACCAATTTTCAAAAAGGGATACAAAAAAGGGAGGCGTGAGGAAGTCAGGAAAATAAGTTAATCAAAGATGAGAAATGAAAAAAGAGGGATTTGTGTTTTTCTTTTTTGTGCGCTTATTAGTTTTTTCTGGTTTCTTTTTCTTTTTCCCTTGTTAGGTTAAATGTTTGTATTTTTGTATTCTCTAATTTTGTATTGTTGTGTTTTATATTTTTCTTGTGTTTTTATTGTTCTCTGTTTGTTGTTTTGGTATTTCTTTATTGTTAAAAATTTAATAAAATATTATTATTAAAAAAAAATATTTCCTGGGTAGTGGGGGGTAGGGCATGGTTGGTTGTCTTTTAGTTGACTGCAGTGAGAATTCTTTGCCTGTGGGGGGGAATTGTTGAGTCAAGATATTGGTTCATATGCTGTCAATAGATTTCTTGTTGTTTTCTTGCCCCAGAACCTCTCTTGAAATTCTGGCATCAGAATTTTAGAGATGCTTAGGTGGGAAATGGCCAAGAAAGGTTGGGAACCACTGCTAGAGAGCTTTCTGTCTAAGCTCAGAGACTCTGTAGCTGTAGCTGTTTTCCTCAGAGTGGATGCTAAACACAGATCAGAACCAACTCTCTACACCTCTCTCTCTTCCACCATCTCCCTATTTATCTGCTCACTCCCTCAGAAACGGGTCCTTTTATTCTCCTTCCCAAAGTGCTGGCTCCACCCTCCTTTGGTCAGCTGCCTTGGTAGCCAATCAGAGGGAGGTTCCAGCCCTCGGAAGCACTGCATCCCCAGACTCCAGTCTGGCTCAGCTGTCCATCAAACCTGGCAAGTGAATCAGTCAACCATTCTGGGCTATTAACCAGCAAGCTGCCTAACAAAGGTTGGATAAGTGACAATATAACCTCATTTAAATAAATAAAACAAGTTTAAAGCCCATACTTATGGAAGAGTTATACATATATGTAACACTGCTGCTTTTATGTCTACAAAGGCTATGTGGTCCTCGTTCATAAACCGGCAGTGTTTTTAAATATCAGCTCAGAGGGTCAGAGCCGTCTTGTGTGTATGTGTTGATACCTACCAGGCTCTAGTGCACATTCTGATATCAGTGACATCTTGCCTCACCCTTGGGGAAACGGGGTTCTTTGGTCATATATCAAAGCTGTCATTATATAGCCTGTGCTGGCATGCCTCTCCCAGAGAGTCTTGAACCATATCTGTTAAATGCATTAAGAGTCTAAACAAATTCTCAAGCTTTTGGATAAGCACACAGTAAGTAGGTGAGGCAAATAGACTTATGTCACTCCAGCCACGTTTCGCGTTTCAAAAACGGCACCAGAAAATCATTTGGACATTTCTGTTTGAAGTAATGCCTGGACCACGTGCCTTGTCTGCAGCCCTCTCTTGGATTGCTGGAGAGGAATAAAGCAAGCATGGCAGTCCTGGTCTATGGTGCTTCTAAGTTATGCAGTTTGTAGACAAGAGAATTGTGCCGGGGGGGGTGTGGAGGGGCAGATAATAACTAGGGACACGACTAGCACTGGATGGAAGATGAATGACCTTCAAGGAAGACAGCAACACAGAAGCACAATAAATAAATAGAGGGCAGGCATAGCAAGTGAACCTCTGGAGATTGCAACCCACCAGGCTGAATGCCGCTCACTGGCTGCTCAACAAAACTGCCCACCCAAGGGTGTTATCAAGCAGTGCGCGGACCACAACGCATGGTTGGTGGGCCACACTCACTTGGTGGGTCACAAGTAGTGCTTTTCATAAACCTTTTTTTTTAAAAAAATAATCATTTTATAATGTATATAAACTAGATAGAGCAATTATAACAACAGCTGGATATTAAAGGATGAAAAGCAAAACGATAAAATAGGCATGTAGAACGAGTACACTCACACATGGGTTAAAATAGCAAAGTCCAAGTAAAGACTGTCAACGTTATCAGATTATAAAGTCTAGTTCTAGATTTGCCGGGTTTGTGAGGAGAATTGTCTTGAAAACGATAGTTCCGCTGTATATGTCCTAAAATAATGCAAAATTATATAAAAAGTCAGTTGCGCAAGATGTTTGACACACGTGTGTGTGTGTGTGAGAGAGAGAGAGAGAGAGAGAGAGAGAGAGAGAGAGACATCCCATCTGAATATTTGGAGTTAATTGCAATGACCCCCCAATCCCAAACATGCCATTTCTGGATGCACCAGGCCACCTGACCAGTACTGGCGATTTCGTTATCTCCAAAGTGTCAGACAGCAATGACAGGCTGCAGACGGGCAATTTTAATTTTGAAATTCGCTTACTGATGATAAATTCTGCATGTTCAAAGGTTACGCAGAGTTTCGTTTAATATTCATGAGCGCAACAGCAAGGTGATCCTGGTATTTCAAAGGTGATTGTCAATGTGAGCCCGTGAACCTAAACGTACTGGGTCCCCACCCACTGGAGGTGAACGCCGTAACCTTGGATTCCTAATGCATAATCTCACTGGGAGGAAGGTGGCAGAGGCTTGCCCCCTTAAATTAAATCGACTTTCTCAATCCCATGGTTCTAGAAGTGACACTGACATTCCCAGGACACCATCCACTGGTGAGAAACCCCCGCTTGAAACTTGGCCATTACTTTGGATTTTATTATCCTGTGCAAAGTCAGAATTATCATTAATGTGGCTATTATTAATCTAACCAATAATTTATTTAATAGCATCAGACTGCATGCCTCATTCATGCTGTATGTAACCACAGGGATTATAAAAGTTGTAGTTAATTTAGCTTTAAATAGCTGATCTGGAGTCTCATTCCTTTTTTACCTTCATAATAAATTACAGCATTCCTCATCAGAATGCCCCATCGCCTGGGTGACCATGGGTCCTATTTTAAAAAAGACAGTCTTCTGTTTGATCAGCTGCCACTCCTCTGAACAGCTGTTCTGTCCAAGTCCAGTTTAAAAGTGAAGGACCCTAAGGAGGGAGAGCAACAGAGATGACTGAATAATAATAATAATAATAATAATAATAATAATAATAATAATAATATATTTATACCCTGCCCATCTGGCTGGGTTTCCCCGCCACTCTGGGTGGCTTCCAACAAAATATTAAAATACAATAGTCCGTCAAACATTAAAAGCTTCCCTAAACAGGGCTGCCTTCAGATGTCTTCTAGATAGTCTAGTAGTTGTTGTTCCCTTTGACATCTGGTTGGAGGGTGTTCCACAGGGCAGGTGCCACTATCGAGAAGGCCCTCTGCCTGGTTTCCTGTCACTTTGTTTCTCACAGTGAGGGAACTGCCAGAAGGCCCTCGGTGCTGGACCTCAGTGTCTGGGCAGAATGATGGGGGTGGAAACGCTCCTTCAGGTATACTGGACCAAGGCTGTTTAGGGCTTTAAAGGTCAGCACCAACACTTTGAATTGTGCTCTGAAACATACTGGGAGCCAATGTAGTTCTTTCAAGACCAGTGTTATGTGGTCTCGGTGGCAGCTCCCAGTCACCAGTCTAGCTGCCGCATTCTGGATTAGTTGTAGTTTCTGGATCACCTTCAAAGATAGCCCCACGTAGAGCGCATTGCAGTAGTCCAAGTGAGAGATAGCTAAAGCATGCACCACTCCGGTGAGACAGTCCACAGGCAGATCCAGGGACTCAATGGTTTGGTCAACACCTGAGAGGGGATTGTGCCCATGCCTGAGTCCAGGGGGACATTTAGGTGGTGCAGATAGCCTGTTCCCAGCTTTCCGTTTATCCAGGTGTTCACCCTTGGCTGAGCTATGCTGGAACCCTGGGTCAGCGCTACCTTCAAGGCAGGGAGCTAGTCGAACCAGAGCCTATGCAACCATTCACTTGCTGTAATTAATAATTCTGCCAAAAATCAAAACTAAAATTTGAGTCAAGTATGAATTTATTTAGGGGGGAGGTTTCTGGGTCTGAACACGCAAACAGCTGCCCCAGACACAGAATTGACTATGGTGAGATGTATGGTGTTTTCATTTAAACAACAGTAGTGCTCTTTACTTTTGCATTTATACATATAAATTAACATATGCAAATTTAATGCAAATCTGTGTTCTTCTTTGTTTTGTGATACATTTTCCTTTTTGGGGGTGATGCACAAATGGTTGCCCAAATACCTGTTTTATACATTACCTTGAATGGTAGGTTGTCTCCAGTAATAAGACATTATTCTGGCCATGTTGTTAATATGATTAACTTCTGTTCACCTAGCCAGTAACATGCTGGCAGCAGTGGCAGACCTTGGGTTCTCAAATTTCAGCGGTGCCCTGTGCCAAACCTAAATGTGGTGTGTCCCCCTCACCTTCCATTCCACATCATAGATGCAGCTCATCCAGAGGAACATCTGGGGCTCCGCACTGGGTTGACATTTTCAGAAGGTAAAATTACTTTTTGTTTTTTGTTTTCCAAAAGCAGTTTATGTGCTTCTTCATCAAACATAGACTTAGCAAACTAAATGTTGTCCAGTCACAAAAATAAAGGCAGATTTGAATTCCTGCCACCCAAGACCCCTCACTGAAGGAATTTGCAGAAAAATTCACCCCCTAAAATGGCATGCCCTCAGCTAGGGAATCTGTTCTGGCGCAAGCAAATGGGGATCAGAAGGGCCAGAGGCAGATAATGACATCAAAGACAAGCTGGAGTTTGTGATGGTCCAGTTCCAGAGCAGACAGCCTAGGAAAGCAATGGGAGGGGACTGAGTCTGTGTGGATAGGTTGGGAAAGAAGCTGCAAAGCTTGGTCCTCTGACTTTCATGTAAAGTCTTTAAAACAGGAAGGTGCATTGAAATGGGCTTGTGAAACCAGGTGACTATTTTCAAGCTGGAATTTCAATTGCTGAGAGACTAAAATGCTGGTGGCACAGGTGATAAGTTACTAGGGAATGAATTGCTACTGAAGGCGCTGGTTCGAGTCTCTCTCTCTGTTAGGTTGTGGACGAACATATCAGACGACACAGCAATTCTTCAGACAGCTCTTGTTTATTCACAGAACAGAACTGAACTGAAGGGTTCAGCCAACCTGCGTATATAGAGCTCAACTACAAAGCAACAGTAACAACTTTCTGTAACTATCCAATCACTGAACGTCACT